AACCGTAAATAATTATTTTCTGTTATGTCATACTAATAAGATCAAGCATCAAGTTAAGATTTATCAAAAGTGTTTAGACCGTGTAAGAAAAAATTCTTTGAAAATAATTCAGGGCTATGCTCTAGCAGAGCCCAGTGGCCCCTGGCGCCTAACTCTTTGCCCTCGGCCGACTAGAAAATCTCAGATTTTTCATACAAATCATATGCTGGGCACCCTAGATTTTACAGTTTCAGAGCACTGGGCTCCCTTCAATTTTCCTTAGAGCACAGCCTTGATAATTGTATCTGGCCTAAAATGTATAAAATTCTGGATTTTCGGCTACCTTTCCGCTCTGAGAATAAGAAATGATGCATGACCAGCATACGAATAATTAAAATACTGTTTTTAAGACTTGACTAGATCCCTGAGGGGAACAGCAAAAGGCAAGTGGGCCTTTTTTAGTGATCCTCCGGTAGTCTTCCTGCTGTAATAATATTGTGCAATATACTGCCACCTACGAGTATATATAGATCGTTTTCATATGACGTCCCGGCTATAGTATGTACAAAACAATGAATCGGCGGCCATGTTTGTGTACCAAAAAAATCCTGTGGGAATTGAACTCTTCACATTAAAACTTTCTTTTATTCCAAGCAATTTGCAAAGCTGCTGAGCAAGTGTCTGAAAACGATATATTAAAAGATTTAAAGATGAACGTGAAAGAAGATGTCTGCTTACGAACAATTAAATGGTCTTTGTTAGTTCTTGACTGTCTTAATTCGTCTTACCTTGACCGAATGTCAATCTGAACGTGATATTGAGCCTATCGAACTTATTAAATGTTTTTTTTTTTTTTAAAGTTGGTGCATATGCAAATTGCTGTATTATGCTTTTTGTTTTACTCACGTACACTTGAGCGCCCTTTTTCCTTTTTTTTTTTTGTTGCATATATTTTTATCTTTGTTCATTTGATAAAAGAGAACTTAAAGGGGAAGAGAACGACTTACAACTAATGAAAAAGGATATACCACTTTATTGTAATGTAAATTTTCTAATGCTTCTCTAAGCCAAACCTACTTTATAAAAGTCTTTTCAATTTTCATGCTGAGAGTTGATGTGAAAGACATCTTGTCATGCAAATTTGTCACTTAAATGTTTGGATTGATATTTCTTTTATTTACAGCATAAGCGACTATAAATATATCTTTAAAAAAAGTGATGATATAACCTGGCACAAATTTGCTTTAAAAATGTGGCACCTCCATTGCATGGGGAACGTTATCCAAATGAACGTCGAGTTAAGTCGTTACGTCTTGTGGATTAACAATGGGAGGAAATCAATCATCGGTTTTAAATTAAGTCCAGTTGGGGCCCTGTAAGTCAATAACAAAATACTTTATTTGATTTATCTTTGAAATCAGTTGTACCGAAGCTTTTGCTAAGTACACCTGCCGCAGAACCTCAACTCCGTTGCCTTGCATGCTCCTACGTGTTATTTGAAAACATGAATGACATTTTGTGAAAAGTGGAACACGTTAAAACTAACACGTCACTCACCTGGATATTTAGTAGATACGTGCTCGGTGATATGATTGAGGTTTAGCATTATTTTAAACATTGTTCTAGAAATCAGCAGTTGATAAGCAGTCTGTGAAAGGATCATCGCAACAAGCTGATGTTGTCAACGCTTCCACAAGGCGTAAGTCGTTATTATTCTAATGTTTATTCCTCGTCTTCTTCTTCTTCTTCTTCTTCTTTTTATTATTATTATTATTATTATTATCATTATTATTATTATTATTATTATTATTATTATTATTATTATTATTATTATTATGTGATGACTAGAAGTAGATAAGCTTAAAATTTCCCAGCAATTACCTTAACTTAGAGCATAACGCAGAATTGACTCACGGCTCATGAGCCAGCCAGAGACTTTTTTCTACCCTTCCTCATTTCTCAATTTATCAAGTAAAGTTGCATCCTCCTTACATTAAAAATTCAGTGTTTTTTTTCCTCAGTACAAAACCTCTTGTTCCAATAAAACAGGGGCACCCAACGAGAATATAGTTCAAAACCACTTAAACATAGCATTGTTAAACGTATTTTAGTATTTAAACGGTAGATATAGGCATATTTTTATCCCCTAAAAATTTTTCATCTGTTCGGATTTCCTAGCTGAAAGTCTAGTGATCCGAAAATTATAGGGATCAAAACTTACCTTTTCAAAAATTTCAGCCAGAAAAGAGACTCCCGAAAATTCTAGGTGACCTTTTTAGGGTAAAAATCCGTTAAAAATGGGCAATTATACCATTTTTTAGATGTTCGAAAATCCTAGGAGAGACAGGCAAGGAAGAAATTTTACAACAAATGTTTCGAAAATTCTAGATTTCAAATCGTCTTCCGAACAGATATTCTTCCGAAAATTGTCGTTGGGTGCCCCTGATAAAAGAACCAATAAGTATTGAAAATTTGGCGGAGAGCAAGTTGATCATTCCTCGGTGAAATGGCGACTTAGTTTTCCTTTACAAGAGCTTTTCTTATCGCAATTTGAGTTTTGAATTTCCAGCCTTATGCATAGCCTGCGAAGACATCCGTTTCTCCTCGCTCTTCGCCGCAGGCTACCTTATGCATGCACTCGGAGTGATGTTGGCGACCAGTATCTGTTGACCCATATTAGTAAGATGTATAATTTTAGTGAAACGGAGAGGGAACAAGTAAGTAAGTTATTATTTAATGGTCGGTAACTAAAGTACGTCAGCTCTCACTGAGGACCGCGAACATTGCACTGACATAGATCCTCCATCTTCAGCTACACAAACGTAGTATTAATAATGTTTGCAAGACTGGCTGTTTTGCTTTGAGGAACATCGGAAAGATCTGAAACTATCAGTCAATCGGTGACCGTTGGTGCAAGCGTTTGTGACATCAGAACTTGACATGAGCAATAAGTGCTGGGAAAACCATCCCGGCGAAACTTGATATGCTCGATTAGCTTCCATTGCTCTTCAAACACTGAAGCAAGGGTCGTGTCAGAGCGGAGCATAAAAATTATAATCAAGAGCCATAATGAAGCGCCTCCATTGACCTCCAATCCAGAGTAAAAGGAAGAATTGATTTCAAAATCTTGTTGCTCACTTAGCTTTTAAAGCTCTGTTTAATTTGTATTACCGGGCACATGACTAAAACCATGAAAGAACTTCTACGTGGCTAAAAACCTAGCCGTCCACTACGCGCATCAACTTAGCCTGCTAAAGTCAAAACCTGGAGATAATGAATCTTGATGCCTAACAACATATGCGTTCGGTTAGCTTTTTGACTAAGTTTTCAAAGCTTAGCTGAACCATTTTTCTCTTTAAAAAGTGCGGTTTTTCGTAGTTATTTGACTTTGAACTGTTAACATACTCTTATAGCTTTTGAGATGTCTTATCTTTATATCAACTTTATTAATGGAATAGTATATTGGTCTCCAAAAACTACAACAACCACTAATGGCTATTTCACGAGTTTCCTCTTCTACTCATACCACAATTATTACGTCACGTAGCCATGGCAATTCTGAGATAATGATATCAAACGAATGGTCGTTTTGACGCAACAGTACAACCCATTTGAAAAACCCATTATTTTAGCTCGCACTATACATATATAAAGAAATGAACCAGTTGTCCTAATTTTTGACATCAAATTGAGATGACGAAATTGTCTTATGACAACCTGCTTTAAGAACATGCAGGAAAGCTTCAGAACTACCTTAATGTTTTAGATTCAAGATCGGCTCGAAACGTCAAGCGCTCTTATTGTTATTTTGATGTCAACGCTAAGACGCTAAGCAAAGTAAACGTTTTTTAAACTTTAAAACCTACCATACAAGTGTCAGGGGAAGTGTCAGCAACCATCAGGTGTAGTAGGTGAGTTTTTCCGAAAGAAATTCAAGCCCGCATATCCAAATCTCAAATAATTCTAATTTCGTGCATTTTGATATTAGTTTTTAGGGTCAGAAGTTGTCAGTTAAATGGAAATGAGCTTTTAATTTTCAACCCTTGGTGCGTTAACGATGATACGAAAACGACTTTTAGCCGATTTTTATGTAGACAGTTGAGTGAATGTTTTGTCATTTGTGGAACAGCTGATTTGTCACGCTGTGAACTGGTGCTCTTCAGTACGCCTGACTGGCATTTTAATATAATATTTTTGTATATCTTAAATTTACACAGATTAAACCGCACAGCAATAGTCACATGATATATACTATAGAATGGACGCCATGTTAGCTTCTATTATCCCTGCTGAAAAATTTTCCTTTGCCTTTATAAACCGGGTTGATGCCGATTACATTTTGTTTAATTTAGGGCATACTAGTGTAATTTACTAATGCGTGGAAAACCAACAACTGTATGACTTTTTTTGATAAACAACCTCCAGCTTAATCTTAAAATTGACCTTTTGATAATTTTTTTTATTACAATGCACCAGCGAATATAATGGACATGAGTCTTTAATAATCTCGCGCCTTTTTTGGTCTTTTTATTACTTTACAGTGCTGGGCATTTTCATGAAAATTTAAAAGTTACTTAATTTACCAAAACTTTCGAGTTACAGCAGCTATTGATTAATAATGAGCCGTTTACATATTCATCACTACACAGTCTCTCTCATCGATGAACTACTTCACTCTTTTACTCTGTGAAGCCACAGGCCCAAATAATGAACTCTGAATATATTTTCAACTTTAATTTTGCTCACTATGTGAGTTTCACTATGCAGGTAATTTGCTTTTTGAAGTAATTTTATTACTTTTAAAATCGTCGAATTCAAAATGTAAATTTCTCTTTAATATACCGACTATGTTGACATATTGTAGAAATATTCTTTTCTGTTCATTGATAATAGTTTTTTTTTTTGAAAACTGTAACCTTTTTTTTTATTTCCTCTCAGTCGACGGAATTATGGATCATGGTGGATAATTTAACTATACTTCTTTCCCGAATAATTGACTGAGACACCACACTGTCAGCAGAATGACTCAAATAAACTGTACACAGACTGCAGCAACAGTGAATGGTTCCTCGGAAAATGCAACTGCCTCAGGGGACACTTTTGACTCCGATTCGATTGTAATTCTCTCATGCTTGGCCCTTTTAGCGATTCCTATTATCGTTATTAACTTCGGTGTGATGTTTTTGGTTTCGAAGAAAAAGACTCTTCGAACACCTGCCAACATTTGTCTTGCGAGTCTCGCTTGCTCTGATCTTCTCACCGGGTTATGCGTTATTCCATTGGTCATTATCTGTACGTTATTTAAAGAAATTCCTTGGCCGTGTTTATCAATGGAGTTTATTAACAGGATGCTGTCAATTTCGGCCATTCTTCATCTACTTGTTATCGCCTTGGAAAGATACGTAGTTATTGTCTGCCTTGTGAGGCTGGATAACCTGCTCAGTTGCAAACGATACGTTGCTATTGTGTCAGCAGTCTGGTTCATTCCGTTATGTGCGTCGCTGATCCAATTGTCGTGGCTAGATTGGGAAGATGGCGTACCTGTTCTGAATGGCGTCTCGCAGGCTGAGATCATTTATGACCTCGTTTGTTTCGTTGGATTCCTCTGTCTTCCTTTATTAATCATCGCAATTTCGTATTCGAGGGTCTTCTCCGTGTTGCACCGGCACACCAAAGACATAAACAAACAAGCGTCTCTCTTTGTGTCAGACTCTAAGTCACCCAAATACAAACTCAAGGAAAAACGAGCCACAATTATATACACATGCATGATCGTCGTCTATGTTGTAGCGTGGTTTCCTTACTTTCTCCTGGTACTGTCCAAAGACTTGGGTGCAGGAAAGATGGTCGTTAAAATTCCGTTATGGGTAGAATACGCATTTATGTTTACCCGATTTTCCAGCCCGTTAGTCAACCCTCTTTTATACACCTTTTTCAAGCAGGATTTTCAAAGAGTTATTGGAGCTATAAGAAGAGGAGGAATCGTGGTGAAAGTAAAGTTTACCTCTGCTAGTTCGCCAATAATCAGCACAAAACAGCTGAGAATCTCAAGATTAAGACACAGTTCAAATACCGCTGATTTGGGATAGTTTCTTTGTGTGATGGACGGGACTTTTCTCTGAGGAAAGCAAACTAACCTTCAAACCCAAAGAAAACGTCGTCATTGTCACTTTGAGAATTTATGAAAAACAAACAGTGGATACTGCAGAAGAAGCTTTGCTAAAAGGTTGAGTTTAATTAAAGGCTACAACGTGGCAATTCTTCTATAAGACAAAGAACCTCTTCAAATGCATCATAGCAAGACAGTATAAAAGGGCCCCCTTTTTTCTCTCTTGACCAGAGCCAGCACCCCTCATGAACGTTCGGCTCAATTACGAACCAGACCAATTAACCAAACCCTAATTTGGGTCAACTTAATTAAGTTAAGTTCGTCTGTTCGGTCAGACGTCGAACTTAGGACGCGTCGAACCAATTAATCGAATCAGACCAAAAAGTAGTTATAATTTTATCTCCGGTCTCCTGCATGTTAGCAGGAGTCAGACTGGCTGTCATCTATAGTGATTTTCACAGAGGCGATGAAATAATTCTAAATTTCGCAATTGTCTGTTAATATGGATAAAACAGTACTAGGCTGGGTAAATCAAGTCGAGCGCGGTCTTTTCAACTATTCTCCGGATCGGATCAGCCCGATCAAGCCATCATTGTATGGAGTATACGTGAGTTCTTTTAAATCGTATCCCGGTCGAGCATTTCTGTGTTGATTCAAAATCACTTCCCTTAGAAGCGATTGGTATTTGAAAGTAAATTTTAACAGATCGGACAGGTTAGAAGAGTTCAAACTTCACTTCTGACAAGCGGAGATGGTCAGCCTTCCTTCGTCACGTTGGTTCAAAAGCGAGGCCAATTCAGCCTTAGATCAGTAGGTTTACCTTGCGATACATTAATTCTGGTTTTTATTATGACTTACTTAATGTAAGATTTCTTGAAGGTAAGCGCAGTGTTTGATTTTTTTCCTTTAATTCATTTTATATGTGCCTCCAACATATTCGCGCCAAAACCTCTTCACAAATGCCCGCCAAATTTAATGTGGCGCGCTCGGGAGTGATCTCACAGTGTTTAGGAAGAAACAGGCCCAGCACTAGTTCCACTGGAGGCAATTTTGTGTTACAAAAAGTACCCGTATAACGAAGTCGAAAAGCTCTATTAATTTCGTGCGACATTTTCTTGATAAACAATGGAATGTTTTGAAAATTATAGACATCCGTGTTTCATAATACACGTGCACACGTAGCGGCCAAATTGCTATATCTTTGATCTTTTTTCAACTGTTTTGTTTGTTGCCGACGTTTAAATGCTACATCATGATCCAGTGCGATTTATAGTTGTTGCTGCATGCTCAGATCTTTGTTTGAATTAATGAGAAAATTATGTTATAGTTAAAATATTCTTAGCACAACAAGCCAGTAATTATTGCGTAGTACCTGTATCGCATTATTGCATGCGTTCTCAACATAGACGGAC